GTATAAACGTCTGGGTACCAAAACTTTTTGACCCTAAGACACATTTCCCCTATCTTGACTTTAAATTGACCTAAATTTTGGTTTTCATAATACCACACGTTGGGCGCCAAACTAAAATGTATGTGCCCCAAGTTGGGCGCGAAATTAAAATGCTATGTGCTACAGCAAACGGTCACTAAACCACTCACAGGGGCTGTACGAACTATAACGCTTTTCCGGCATTGACGTATTGAATTTAGCGAATGCTTCGGTATTAGGAATATTTAACTTCAAATCAATTACAAAAAAGCGACTGACAGTTTTTGTTACGCTTTTTCCCCCCCCCCCCCCCCTCCTTTACCTTAGAGCCGCTCGGTATATTACCATGAAATTTAGAAGGGTGCTACACGAGACAATTCTTTATTTTTTGAGTGGAAGCTGACAAATCAGACTACTAAAATGAAATGTGGAATGCAAAGGTAAACAAGGATAAATGGTGCACATAAAGCGCATATTTTAACCGAAATAGCTTTTGTTTTGACATCACCAATGGGCATATTTCTTGTAGACGTTTCAATCGCCCTTTGTGAGTACCCTCTTCCGACAATCCGTTCTGGAGGTATAAGGAAATATACCCGATCACGTTAAGAGGTCGGGGAGGAGATCTATGGTTGGTAGAAATTAATTCCTTTCGTTGAGACCTTTCATTAGAGTACCATGAAGGATAAAACTAGTTCCACCCCCTTCCCCTCCACCCCGCACTTTGATAAGAGGACCTTTAATTTTTAACCCCCCCCCCCCCCCCAGGCCCCGTCGCTCACTGATCTCGAAAAAGAGTCGCACGGGTAATTTATAGTTTGTACAAACCAATTTATTTCGATGAGACTTTTCATTAGAATACCATGAAGGGTAGAATATGTGTTTACCCCCCCTCCCCATTTTCTGAAGTTTAACTTGGCACCTTTAAAGGTATGCGTATGCAAAATCTGAGACCAATTGGTTGTCGTATGTAAAAGTTATGAACGTTTTACTTTCAAAAACAGCATCTCAGGAAATAATTCGTGGGGGGGGGGGCTTTTAGACAGCGAAATTTAATGGTCGTCTGGCACACCGTCAAGGTATGGGCAAAAAATCCAGGACTCTGGGACTATTCCCCTAGAAGTAGTTCAAAACGGCAGAAGTGGGTCCGGACGGACGGACGGACAAAATGCAAACAATAGCACATTTTTTTTAAATTCTAAAAAATGCGCTAAAAATACCTACCGGCGCGACGGAAAGTATGCATCAAGAAATCAAACGATATAAAATTGGTCCCCATTTGAATAAAGCAAATGTTTTAAAACTCGATGGTTGAATTAAGAGTTTCAAAATAAACTGCCACTGTCATTTCGACTTATGAATTTGTCAGTTTGAACTCAGAAAATAAAGAACTGTCTCGTATAGCATATAGTATATAGTTCATTTCAGATTGATTACTGGGTGCTACTAATCAATCCATCGTCAACATTGCAATGGTCGCCCTTCCTACTTTTAAGCCTAACAGTTGAACCGGTAATCACGCAAAATGGTTGATAGTCTTCTTAGGTTTGTGGTGTGGTTCAATTTCGATGTATAAAACTCGTGTCTAATTTTTTTCGTCTTCTTTTCCTTCGCTTTTAATACTTTGGAACCTACCTTTCGTACTTCTACTTCCCATGCCAGCGCAGATAAACAATGCATTTTCTTTCACTGTTAATCTCATTAATAATGAAAAATTGTAATCAAACATTTTGAAAAAATACTATTTAGGTAGAACGTTAAATACCTCTGTTGGGAGCCGTGGCAAAGTACACTTCATAAAACCACCAACTGAGGCGTTAGTTTAGAACGCATGGAATTTTAATTGTCACTATCCATATATTATTCATTTCTGACAATTGGATTCATTGATTGGAGATCAACAATTGTTGCTTCATCTATAATTAGCCCTCTTATTTAAGAGGTGTGCAGGGTGTTTCGAAATTCGCGCACACGGACTATGGGATGGTGTTATACGACAAAAACTGAACAAAAAGTGCCATCAGACCGCTATTTTTCGAGCTAGCGCGGTCTTAAAAATCTCCGCCCCCCCCCCTCTCGCTGCGCCATTTATTAATAACACATTTTTAAAAACACGTTGGGGCACCACAACATTACCCTTGAACAGAATTCGGTCTTATAATCTTCTAAAAACGTTAGCATCTGGTAGCCGCCGCTGAGGATGTCGCAACTCGTATAAACGCACCGCTTGCCCTGCTCGATTATTACAAGCCCCAAGTACCATCAGCATATCGTATTATTCTCGATTTGAATAATTACCGCCCATTATTTCGCAATTTGAATTGTACGATAATTACAATAAATTGTTTTGAACTTCTTTTGTTTTCCGGCATTTTCATTTTCAGATTTTTCGAACAACGACAACTCGAACAGTGCCGGTCGGATCAAAAACTGGTAGAGGAACTTTTTATTCAGTTTTCGTTGTATAACTCCATCTCACAGTCCGTGTGCGCGATTTCGAAACACCCTGTATAGATTTTATCATATCAACGCAGAGAGTTGCCTTTGATTTCCTTTAGGGTTTTAATTAACGGTACCAATTTAAGGAACAGTTCAAAGTTTTAGTTTCAAATTTAATTTTTTATTATACCTGAATCACAATCTCCGTTTTAAACACTCAAATGCGTGCGAAAAAGGGCCTTTAAAACACACGTGCTTTAAAGTTGCTAAGTAACGATACTTCAAGTATGACTTTTGAAACTGTCATCTGGATGAAATAAAAAATCCTCTTAGGTCGCTTTCTGTAAATGCAGAACATTTCTTTGGCTTTTGTACCTATCCTTTGGTTGAAGCTTTCACAAACGCGCGTAATTTAGGGTATGCTTCCAAATCTGTTCCACTTTTTAATCGCAGCATTGCTTTAAAGTTTTGAATGAATGCACCAAAATATAGAAGATTTAAATACCTTTGACATTTCCTTCATATATGCCAGCATTATGGATGCATTTAAGACTGTATTCGTAGGTAACTTCCTATTCATCCATGGAAACAACTTTTCATATCCTTTATAACAGGCTTTACTGGATTTGGATTTTACACCTACCAACGTTTGTTTAGATTTTACAAGCGATTTAATGGACGATGTATTATCTTTTTCAACGGAAATCGTTTTATTTACAAAGATGATGATGATTATAAGCAAACGTCAAGTGACATTTCCATGGCAATCGTGAAATTTCGAACACCCAGCCCACTTAATTAAACAAGTATTCGAATATAACGTCAATATGACTTCATTGTATTTCCTATTTTTAAATTATACTGCAGGTATAATAAAAAATACTATAAGATACACGTGTATAATTGGTCTTTAAAGCACTTGCAACGTTAAAGGCACTCCGCTATGCGTCGTGCCCTTAAACTCGTTGCGCGTGCTTTAAAGACTTGATTATACACTTGTATCTTAATATACTATTAATGTTCGTTCAAATAATCCGAACTAATTTCAATATTAATGGCTTAATTCCACTCATTGCTATCGTGACACTAAACAGCTTTGTTAAAAGTCGTTGGCTCATCTTTTGTTAGAAATACTTCAGTAAAGTTTAGTGTGGCTAGTTCTTGGGCAATACCGAGACGGATGCTTAGCGCATTGGGTGGCGAAGGCAAGTAAATCTTTATCTTCATTTTATTCCTCATTCGACCTATTCGAATTTGAAACAGGATCAGGCTTGTCCTTTGTCACGGGTACTTACAAAATCAGGACTGGAAATGCCCGTTCGTACTATTAATTTTCATTTGAAAATACTATTACTTTTTCACGCAGAAATTAATGGCGATGCACAATCGAAATTGAACACAAATGCTTGGAATGGCCCTTATCTGGTAACTAAAAATGCAAAAATGATATTAGGGATACTTAACTTCAATGGTTCAGGATTTTTTATTTAAGTTCAAATCAAATACAAAGTGACTGATGGCAGTTTTATTCTGCTTTCTAACCTACTCTTTTTTATATATTGCTACAGCTTACAAAACACGTCCTATCCTTCAACGTGACCGACTTGGAATTTTTCGAAATAGTTTCAAAGAAATCCATGACAAAAAATACGATCACGATCGAGTTATTAACTTTCTAATAAGCGCTGTGTTTGATAAATTGTTTTGTTGGTTCTATAATATACTTGATTACAATTTTACGATATATTTTATATGTATTATCAAAGTGTAGCATTCGTATACCCTCGTGCACAAAGAAAACAAGCCATTTTATAGTTTTTCCAGGGTCGTCGTTTCGATTATACGACTCCATCAAAAAATTAAAAAAGGAATAATCTACATCTACCCTTATTAAAATCAATCCTCGTATGAAATGCGAAATAAACGAGCAATTTCAAACACGGTGTGCGCGTTCACGAGTATGACTATCATTTACAAAGGCTTTCACATGAAACGAAGTTTTGTTTGTGTTTTAAAATATACAAACGCCCGACAAATATAATTAACGTTTAGCATGTGTTGCATTTATATAAATATTAGAGGCAAGCGAACAGATTAATTAAATGGTCAAAATATTATTTTTCAATATGAATTTCGCATTTTGTTCCTCTCTCCTTCACTAGATTTACACTTTCGGTTATTTACTTCGCTTGATATAATCCGTGCTGCTCGTCTTTTACGTATGGGATTATTGAAGTCGACATGAACATAATAACTTCGGGCTAATGAAAGTAAATGCGTTATTTAGTGATCATGATCACTGACTTGGCTGTTAAAGTGGACTACACCATTACGAGTGCAATGTCACACTTTGCGAAACATGTGGGGCGTCTGTAAATAATTGAGTTGGAACAATATTAACAACATCCTTTGCATAGTTCAAATCATTAACTAATTCTCATTGCTTTAATTCCTAACCGTAATTTAGCAGTCTCTTAGATTCAAGCCAAACTATATTGTATATTACAAATTGCGTTATATTCCTACGCTCTACTTGTTTTTAGTCATGGAACTCGTTGTGCAGGAGAAGTCGCGGCAGCGCGAGATAACGGAATATGTGGAGTTGGCGTCGCATACGATTCTAAAATTGCGGGTAGGTAGCGCACACTTTCCTGTAAATTTTTAAACGCATCGTTACTAATATGATAGGTATACGAATGTTGGATCAGCCGTACATGACGGATCTAATCGAAGCGAACTCTATGGGACATGAACCTAATTTAATCGATATCTATAGCGCGTCTTGGGGACCTACGGATGATGGAAAAACTGTGGACGGACCTAGAAACGCTACGATGCGTGCAATTGTTAGGGGAGTAAACGAGGTAGGCTTATTTGAAACTTGCAGATTGTTTTATCGCGGTTCTTTGACGCCCTATTCCCCTTTCATTCTAAAAATAAGTCACGAATTTTTTCAGGGGCGGAATGGTTTGGGGAATATATATGTGTGGGCAAGTGGTGATGGCGGGGAGGACGACGATTGTAATTGCGATGGATATGCGGCAAGCATGTGGACTGTAAGTATTAACAGCGCTATAAACGACGGACAAAATGCTCACTACGATGAAAGCTGCTCATCGACGTTGGCTTCCACATTCAGCAACGGTGCGAAGGATCCAAACACAGGAGTGGTAAAAATCTGTATTAATTGTGTATTAAATTATATAATTGGTTCGCGTAGGCGACAACTGACCTGTACGGAAAGTGTACGACAACTCACTCCGGTACATCTGCGGCCGCACCGGAGGCCGCTGGAGTGTTTGCATTGGCATTGGAGGCAAAGTGAGTATAGTTCGTTTCAGTTGCATATGTTACGGTCAATATATTTGTAGTCCGCAACTATCTTGGAGAGATATTCAGCATCTGGCGGTACTGACCTCGAAACGAAATTCCCTTTTTGACGCTAAGGGACGGTTTCATTGGACGATGAACGGTGTAGGTTTGGAGTTTAACCACTTGTTTGGTTTTGGAGTACTGGACGCGGGTGCAATGGTTGCTCTCGCTAAGCAATGGAAGACAGTTCCACCACGTTACCATTGTGAAGCAGGATCCGTTACTAAAATGCAGTGAGTGCAATCCTCTTACGCGAAGACGAGATCTTATTTTATTGTGCTTGTAGACCCATTTCTTCAGGAAAATCGCTGGTTTTAAAAATAGAGACGAAGGCCTGTGAAGGAGAAGCAACAGAATTAAGATACCTTGAACACGTTCAAGCTGTGGTAACTGTAAACGCATCTAGACGAGGAGATTTGGAATTGTACTTAACTTCGCCTATGGGTACAAAGTAAGTCTGCACGTAATTAGACCAAGCTACAAATTACTCTTTAGATCTATGATATTAAGCAAACGACCAAATGATGACGATTCCCATGATGGTTTTACAAAATGGCCATTTATGACTACTCATACATGGGCGGAATATCCACAAGGAACATGGATTTTAGAGGTAAATATTTCAATTATTGCATTGCGGTTCTACCAAGTCTCAGCAAAGTGGCCCTCCAATTGTATGAAACCTTTTAATTTCAGGCGCGGTTCAATTCCTTGACACCGCAAACGGGCTTCTTCAAGGAGTGGACATTGATGCTCCATGGTACCAAAGAACCTCCATACACGGAACTTGCTGTTTTGGATCCCCATTCTAAATTAGCCATTGTTAAAAAAGCCCACGAGAGCCGAATTAAACGATATTAATTCTTTTACTTTATGCTGCAAAGCATTGTAATTACACACTGTTTGATTAATTTAAATTTAAAACCTGCCAATGCATACATAGGGATCATAAACGTCAAGGGTGGTCAGAAATATTTGTGGTTCTTCTTATTTTTTATGTAGACACAAGTTGTGAATGTGTTGTTTTTAGAATAACTTGCATACTCACAGTCCTCTGTAATAAGACGCAACGGCCCTTAACAGAGTGACTTTGAAACTTTGTTAAGATAGCAAATATTTCATATTATACACCAAACACCACAAAAATCTCGCTACCGATGTTTTTAAAATTTAAGGTCTTTCTTGTAAACATTTCTTAGCTTACAACATTTTGGTGCTATTACATATACAAAACATTTCAAGTTAAGTAGGTAGCTTTATACCTGTTTGTCTCAAATTTCGTAATATGTAAGGATCATTTAGATTGGCACAACTTAACAGCCGATTTTGTACCACACAACCGTTAGTCACAGCACTGTAGTAGGTGCAATTTCTTTACGAATTTGCTATCACTTTTTAGTATCACCAAATTAGTCTAGAAATGGTAAAAGTAGTATCAGAAAAAGTAGCTCTAATACTTAAATCGTAATAAGCACTTACTTGTCTGATGTACCGCATCGTTCGAAAATTGTAGACACCGTACTGTAGCAATGTCAGTTTTAAATCGTCATCACAGCTTGACAAAAAAAATTAAAAACAGCTCAATACGCGCACATGGCTCACTTCGTCTTCATTCCAGCCAATACGTCTCTTACACTTACCTACTTTGAACATAATTAGTGCTAATGCTTGATCCATTATGTACTTAAGGGACGGACGGACAAGAACACCCATCACTTTATACACCAAAAATCTACTTATATAGGTATATATATACAGGACTTTAGTTGTATGTTTTTACCTACTTCATTCTTAATTACATTGTATAAATTGTTCCAGCAACAAAATCTGGTTATTAAATGTGATATTTTCACACCTGTGATATTTAAATTCCACACATTGTACAAACAATATCGTATGTAGCACTTGAAAAGATGATAATAACAATCAGGCATTAGCATTTTATTAAAATGAGTGTTTTTTTAGGAAAAATATTTAGTACCTTAAAAAATGTAAATAAAAATTTAAAAAAAAACTGAAATATATAAAAAAAGATATCATTGCGAGTCACAGCTATAGAATAACTATATCAATTCATATGGGCAAATATACAGGTATATAATGTATTAAATATCATGAGTAGAATTATTATTATTTTTTAATAAGGGGGACTTTACCAGATGAATAAAATGTGTAGATATATTATGTAATTATAAAGAAAATAAATTTATGGATTTTGTAAAGTTTAATTTTGAAAAAGAATAGAACATTATTTTAAGCATTGAAAACATGTTTTTTTGAATTTACATGAAGGCAATTGAGAAATTTTTACTCCTTTGCGTTTACAGTCTCGTAGCCGTTATGAAATCACAAATGAGTGGTTAATATAAATTAAATTAGTTAAATAACAATATAGTATTTAAACACCTGAATAGGGTGAATTGCCGTACGTAATTTGCAAAGAAGTAGATATATGATTGTGGAGGATCATGGCTATTTTATGGGAATATATCGTATGGTGTGTCATCAAATATGTAATATTTACCGCAATAATTCCAAATTTATAAAGTCTAATTCAATTACCCACCATACTCACCGAAGACATCTAGGGTCAACGTCTAATGGAAGAAATTAATGATCGATTAACGAAACTTATAATGAAATGGCAATTGTTAAGTATTAAAAAAATCAAGTTGCAGAACAAACCAAAACAAACATTGTTTTCCAAATACTCTGGGGAGCAAAAATGTTTCATTTGGTTGTTGAACTTAGAACATTTTTTTTTGCTCTAAAACTGAACACATGGAAGGATGAAACTAACGACTTGCATGGGTGTTTTGAATGTTACTAACCCAAAATTGCGCACAACTACGGTGAAGTGCCAGAGAAGATTCTTTCAAATAAAGTAAAGTAAAATAAAAAATAAAAAGGAATAAAAAAAATTTTAAAAACAAAAAATGGAAAATGGAATAAATAGAAACAATTAAATAAAGTAAAATAAAAAATATAACAAAGGTAAAATAGAAAAAAATAAGATAAAACAAAATAAAATGAATAAAAAAATAAAAATAATAAAATAAAATGTAATTACGGGGTATTTTTAACAACAAGGAGAAATAACTAATTAAATGGAAGCTAATTGTTAGTCAGAACTCATTGTTAAAATGCGACAAATCTACTGTAAACCTTTCATTAGATACGTCCCTCCCGTATAATCATCAAGAGCTACTCGGGACCACGTCATAAACTCGTGCTCATTAAGATTCCCGGAGTCTAGGAATATATCAGGATATATGCCAGGGGTTTTACAATAGCCCAACAACGAAGCAATACCAGCACGACAGCCTGCACAATACACTCACCACCTATACGTGAGAGACACTTACATTAAAGGGCAACTACGCCAAACTCACTAATTCCTCTGACGCTCTACCTAGGCATCCCTTACGATCGTGACCAGAGCGCGTACCCAACTTAACTGCCTTCCCGATTCCTGAAGAGCCTTGCACCCATCTGTGCAGAATCGCGCATGCTTGACCAGTCAGCTTGCCACATTTATCAAATAGGGGTTGCGTTGACATTTTACTTTTTCATTATTAAGGACTAACATAAAATATCGTTCTTACAAAAATAAAAAATAATATAACTACCAATTTTATTGCTCACATAGTGAGGTCGTAGGCGTTTGCGCCGTGACGTCATACAACTATAGTGTACTTAACCCCCAGGTTCTACGCTAACTTCACACTACAACAACACGGAAATAAAGTCAATCCGGCAACGTTTAAAAATGACCACCCGAATGATTTCCCTCCAAAACTAAACAAGATCCCGCATAAATTTGAAAAGTGGCACGTGATAAAACATCTAAGGCAGAGCCCCCTTCCGTTAATTGTAAACAACGCTTTGACCTGAAGATTGTTTAATAATGATCGCAATTATTAATGATTGTGAAAGCTCGGAAGTTTAAGTCGAACAAAACTACATTGCAAAAATAAACTTTGAAAATGGTAGTTCACCGAATAAAAATAAAAATAGGCTGGGAAAAAAACTACGAGTAAAAAATAAAAGGAGAGATTCTTGCATTAAAAGGGGACTTGACGGAAATGAAAAAAAAAGGAAGCGATAAAAGTGCGAGAAGAGTGGGGAGAAACGCGTCATTATTGGCAGTGGTGTAATAAAACAAAACTGACATCGTCTCTTCTGTTTTATGATAACTCAAGTCGACATAACTGACCAGCGCAAAGGAAGTGATATTTTGACGACTTCCGTCGCGTGTTATGCTATTTCCCACCACCGTTATATTCTCTCCTCTTATTTTTTACTCGTAGGAAAAAAAGAACTTACCAATAGAAAAACCAGCCGTCAAATTAATATCAAATTGTGTTGTAAAATTAATTGTTTGTAATGATGTGAATGCCTAACATAAAATTATAACATCACAAAAAGTAGCAGGTAAACTTCAAGAGGTAACATATAGGTAAAAACAAGTTTTGGGAATTATAGGTCAGGTAAGCAGGTACCAAGATTCTAAGAAGGGGTGAAATACACAGGATGTGACTCATCTTTGGTGTAATAAAGTCCTTTTGTTAAAAGCAAGAGGGAAAATTACATGGCCTTGTAGGGAAATTTAGCTAGAAATGTGGAAATTACGAATCGTAACTCATTAATCGCACATAGATTCTAAACTGAAGAGCTTTGGTTAGCATAATCTCGCCCCCTTTCGAGCCTACAGTTGAATGTCGCAGACAATCACGGAATTAGGTGTCGTAGCTCAATTTTGACTACAGTTTTTACCACCCCCGTGACTGCTTCATTCACGGAGAAAATGGTTAGTTACAAACAACAAGTCAGTACATACATCAAACGAATCGGTAATCGTAATTTCCACATATTAAAATAAAATGATCAAAACTTATATGAATGTTACTTCAGGGACAAGACCCAGTAATCAACATCAATAAACATAAGTTAAGCAAGTATTACACCGAAAACGTAAACAATTACAAACAATAGTTTAACGGTATCACATATGTGATTATGCATTGCGATTAAACGAAGTAAATTTCAAAAACAAAGATTCAAACACACAAAAAATATAAAATGTGGCATACAAAACATAAATACGATATAAAGAAATATAAAGATTACTACCTACATTATATCAGAAAATAACCACATTTATGGAGCGACTCGTTCACGACCGCCATTCAAGACAAGATGCCAAACGTAAAAAATGAATTATTAGTAATAAACAAACAAAGTTTAAAAAAACGCATGAACTAGCAACAACGTGGGGTCCGACCCGAGGTATTTAAGAGGAGAACCTATCATAAAAACTTATTGACTATTGCTAACTAATTAGATTTATTAATTTAGAAAGAGTAATTTTTGTCCAAGTATAACAACGGCGTAGAATATACGGTACTTTTGAAGCAAGTAGCATTTTTGTCAAGAAAATATATCAGTTTCAGGGAACGATTTATTAGGGTGTAACTGCACCTGCATAAGTGACACGAGTTGAGGTGTAGAAGATTACGAAGCTGGCAGTCGCACACTTTGCAACCTCATTTTTTAAAATTCTACATCGTCATCTGACAAATCGCTACAGCGTTGCCGTCGTGACACTAATTATCATAAATTTTTTTATTAAGCTGTTTAATTTCAACTTACAATTGTTTGTGTTTCACAACTCTTATAAATATTTAAAAATCCATTTAGATCCTTTCAAATATTATTAAAATCGTCTCGCGAAATGTGACAAGTTCGCTTCCTGCAATGTTTACAAACACGACGAGATGATGGCACGTCAAAGCATCTCTATCTTTCTTTTTACTCTGAGCAGTGAGCACCCAACACATTACTACTACGATTTGGTCTTTATGGTAGATCTAGTATATCACGGTTGGTCAAATGTATCAAGGTAGGCAAAACATCCGTATTTGAAGTGATGAAGTCAACATAACCTCATTAATAATAATTAATAAAAATATTATGCTCAGACTAATTTATGCTCAAGCAATTGCTCATGAACAATGCGTTAGTTTAATATTATAACAAACAGTAAGTGTGCCATATAATGGCACTGAATGTTAGTCAAGATGGTACATTTGGTGCCCCTTTTACTGTTACGTTTAAAGAAATGTGCGAAATATTTATTTAGTGTAGTGAGGAATCGGAATCCATCAATATATTATGTCTACGCAATATTTTTATTAGTATTTATTATAGAAGTTGTAACATATTACTGCATGGTGTTTTATTGGCATGACATACAGTGTTATGATAGAAATAAATGTACAAGGATGCTGATAGTTGCAGACCCTCAACTAATTGGTTTGCATAATGAAGTTGTTCCCCAACTAACCTCGATAGCAATATGGGATAGTGATAGGTAAGTGCCTGGCATACTTTTAGCAAATTCTAGAGACAGTGCTTTAGATACTTGTCCAAAACATTTTGGCAAGCATACCGTTTTATAGATCCTGATGTTGTGATATTCCTTGGCGATTTACTGGACGAAGGCTCAACTGCAGATGACAAAGAATTCAACTTATATGTTGATCGCTTTTATAACATTTTTGAAAATCAAGAAAATGTTTTGAATGTGAGTAACAACCCTTTGTTTATTACTTAAACATTATACGATTGTAGATATGGATTGCCGGCGATAACGATATAGGAGGAGAATATCCTGATTATGTCACATATCATAAAATACAACGGTTTACAAAGGCTTTTTCGCAACCTGATGTAATCACTTACCGAGACGTCACATGTGTTAAGGCCAATACTTTTCAATATAAATTGCCGATTATGCCAGAATTGGCAAACATAACGAATTTCAACATTGTGCTAAGTCATGTTCCATTATTGTCAAGTTTGTCTTCTTTTGTAGATAAAGTAAGGCTGCATTTAATGTAGCCAATTTTAATTGAAGGAAAGGTTTTAGATGCGACTCATCCAAAATTTCTGTTTGCGGCCCATACTCATAACTCAATGGTAATTACTACTCGTCAGAAGTCACGACACAACCGAGCTATAACTCCAATCAATCCCGATGACGACATCCATGTTTACAACTTAAATACGGGCGATTTATTTGAAATTATTGTACCTACATGTTCTTACAGAATGGGTACTTTTAATATTGGCTATGGGTTTGCAGTTGTAGGTAAGATAGTAGACCTCATAAAGAGAATTTTGGTATTGTATTATTGTATGAAGGAATATAAAGTACAGCCCACTCACTTTAAAGGTTGATATCTCAAAATCGGTGGAGCCGATTATAATAAAATTTGGAGTGTTTATCAATTCGTCATTTGTTGTTATAATGGTTCAATTTAAATAAACTCACGTAAACTTATGAGGAAGTAGCACAAGTATGTATTTGGTGCTGCCCCGCCTCAGAATGCTAACCCTCTAAGCCCAAAATTTAATCACTTTTTTCCTCAACTGTCAGGGGCGATCTGACACTGCCCGAGAGAATGTTTATAATTTAAAAGCACCCTTGGTAGTTTGTCCCTTTGTTGTCGCTGCATGAATCTTCTCGAAGACATGTCTCCAAATGAATAGCACCAAGAGCGAGACATGTAAACAAGACTCCATAGCATTTCTCCCGTCGCCCTTAATATTTTCAAATATTTTGATTGATATTATTGAGATATAAGTAAAACAATGATACTAACTTGTACTTCTGTATTTTCAGACAAGGCGTCACTGCAGTATACAGTCCTTTGGTCTCCTTCCCGGTTTTTCCAGTTAAAAATTTATGGAATCTTTTGCATTGTTTTTATTTTATGTGGCTTATATAAATGTACAAAAAGAACTAAAGCTTATACAACAATTCATCCTACTGTGTAATATTGTAGGAGTTGCTTGGTGATTATCGAATGTATGATCCGTCCTCAATTCTGCCATGATGATCTTAAACATTTACTATTGCTAATTTATTGTAGCATTGTTACTCATAATAAATATAAATATTTCATAACTGTTCATTTAATGTAGTGATTGATTTATGCTATGCTCTTATTTTGAAACGTTTATAATCTTACCCAAACTGGAGAAATAGTTATTAGGGAGTTTGTATTGCAGCTTACACTTTAAAAAAATATTGAATATACTAAAAGGATCCTATCCTATCAAACAGTGAACAGTGAACAGAGAGAGAGAGAGAGTTGATTATCAGTGTGATGTTGCTCGATTGAGGAAGTACCTAATACAGTCTGATGATTTGCTGTATCTGTTTACTTTCTTATTCGTGGCGCGCTGCAGTTTTTATGTATATGTTGCTCTCTTATTCATGCAGGATGCAGTTCTTGTGTCTCGCTAAATGAGAAGGGGTCCACTAATTAACATTTCCTCTATTTAAAATATGTTTTGATTGAGCGATAATATTCGACTTTCACATGAATACTTGGACTTGCCATTGGAATTCTCACATATGTACTTTTTGTGTTAAATTAATTTATGTTAACGGAGCCAGGAGTAGAGCCACACCATTTTGATGTTTCCCATGTACATGCAATTTATTATTTTACGAGTTGTTTTATCTGAATTGGTCGTCCATGTATTTTAATAGGTTTTTGTACTAAATTCATTTATCATGTTTTCCACTGCATTTATGATGTCTTGTGTGTTTTGTTTTTATGAATTTGCTTATTGACCTCCACATTGAACCAACTGCTCCCGAAATTTAAAAGTGCCGCAATCGTTTTGACTTGAAATGTAGGTGGCTCTGCTAGTAGTTTTTTCCTTAGACCATGATCTAAGGTTTTTTCATATATATGAGTTTTTTCAAGTTTTTTTCCCAAAGTTGCCAACGGTAAGTATAGGGTATGTCAATATTTTCAGTGTCGCCTTGAGAGACCCCTAGGAACATTACAAACCTCACGTCAATCATATATCTAATGTTTAGGTACAGTGCCACCATGCTCAGAAAAGCCCCGGAAAATATGCGAACTAATTTTGAAATAATTCAGGCTGGCCAATAGAACATCTGCAAAACGACGCGATACATTCCTCGCCATAATTATTAATTATTCCGTTTTAACAGTTGACGCTTCACGTTATTTTAGTTTACACTTTGCTTCTTGTATTTGCTTTATTTTACGTTTTCCGTCTCCAGTTTTATACACACTCTTCTTTTTCAAGGCGCATATAGCTTGGATCTACAATCTGATATGGTATGTAATTCCCTTAAAGTGTCTTTAAATTTTGCATCAGAATGTACGTTTTAAATTTCTAGCGTCTTCGGACACGCCCTGTCAGGGACTTTCTGAGCGTGGTGCCACTGTATATGATATGACGCCCATAAACTGTAGGCGGCCATGTTTTGGGTGTAAACCAAATTAACTAAATTTTCTTCACTCTCTTTTCCTCTCATAATATTAAACTATATTTGTTTTAAGAGGATAGGATAGCGGGAAGCTTTGACTTTGATTAAACACAAGCGAGTGTTCCGCTGACAAAAAAATTCACAGATTTCATAATCCATGCAACCATCGGAGACATTAGAAATGATAACCATATAACGCCATTATATAATACACAAATAACCCTTATTCACCCGGAATCGCTTGTATCGCAAATGTAAACTTTCTGAATAATAAAGCTTCTTAACATTCTTGTAATACTATCACGGGAGATGCGCGAAATGTTAGATTCGAATTAACAAAACCCTTGTGCACTGTTAAGTAAGTACTTACCGTTTTTCTTTCCTCAACGAAAACTGGTACCTTCATACCCCTAACAAAACAAGCATTTCCGTTAAAAAACGAGTGACGGTTTCTGTTGCCAACTGAACTGTCATTAGCTATTAATGTCAAAGATTGAAGCGAAGCGAAATGATTTATTTCTTTTGCGCTTTTCTTCAAACACAGCGCCATCTAATATGCCTTCCAATAATAAATGATACCTAGGTACACGCTGTGTATGAAATGAATCAACTACGGCCACAAAATGCAAGAGAAACTTCACACAACATGAACACGGAAATAAAGTCAACCCGGCAACGTTAAAAAATGACCACTCCTGACCCGAATGACTGTTCCCTCCAAAATTCAGACTCCGCTTAAATTTGAAACCAAAAAGTGGCATGATTGTGATCAAACATCTAAGGCAGGGCTTTAGTGAATCGTGACTCATACACAAAGATTCTAAACCGAAGAGTTTTTATTATCAGAATCTCGCCCCCGAGATAGATAACTCGCCCTCGTTCGGGATTTCGAGCGTACAGTTGATTGTCAAGGTCAGCCCTGCTATTTGAGTGTCGTAATAAGTGTCTCATTTGGTTACAGTTTTGCCCTAGGTTTTGCCACCCCCGTGACCGTCCCTTCAAGATGAAAATGTTAGTTTACAAACAAGTCCGTACACATACACACATCAAACAATTCGATAATTTCCACGTTTATAATTATTACAAATATGCATCTAAATGATAAATTGCATGTACATAGGAAACAGCAAGATGGCGTGGTTCTACTCTTAGATCATACATACATGATCTAAGGCTCTACTCCAGCTTCAGTTAACAAATTAATTTAACACAAAAAGTACATGTGAGAATGCCAATAGCAAATATGTGAAAGTCGATTATTGCTCAAGCGAAACATATTTTAAATAGAGCAAATTTTAATTAGAGGGCCTCTTAATTTCTCGTATTGCTAAGATACAAGTTCTGCAATCCCCACGAGGTAAGTAGGCAACAGATACAGCGACAAGTTCGGCTACATGCGGTTCCTTTTTCCACGGAGATAAATTGTTAGATCTAGCATCCAGGCGACATCATACTGATAATTCACTAACACGTGAGTATATCAAAAATACGTAATAAAACAAAATAATGGCATAATCACCTGTACCTACAGTATAACAAGCAAACGATTCAGATAACAGTACATAAACAAAAGTATGTAATGTTTAAATATCGGTATTTTATGCAAAATGTAAATAATAACAAATTGTGACATGAAATTCAATGATTAATAGTTAGTACAAGAAGTAATAAAATGGTCCCTACCTGTAAATACACCTCCAAAACAAAATAATCAATCAGAAAAACCCGGGAATGCGTCATGCCCCCCTCATTGCCATTTTTTGCGTTCACCAAAATATTAACCTTTCTTAGTCGCATTTTTGTTTCAGACGTAAAGCTGTGTTGGCTAACCATAGGGGTACATTATCATATATACAGGGTGGTGACTTGCGTAACGCATCATAGGGATTTCAATGTAAAATTCATAACATGCGATTATTGGCTCCCCAAATTATTTTAGAGCAAAAATGTATTAAAGTTTTCTGTAGACAACATTTTTTTATGGCACTCAACCGTATTAGGTTTCAATTTTTTTTATATAAAGACTGAAAATTGGAAAAATAAAACTCGCATCTTTTTCAATAATCTGCGATGCCATGGAATTTTCTAAAACAAAAAGATATCCAGTTATCAATTAGCAGCAGTTCGAAATGGATTTTATGATCGACTTGGTTACTGTCTTGCAGTTAATGGTGACTTATTCGAACAACATTTATTGTTTTTAGTAATTTGGTCTTTCTTTATGTTGAATTCGCTGTTCTAAATATAATACTTTTTGATAGAATTTGATTTGTTTTATAGCAGACATTCCATGGCATGACGGATATTGGCGTAGTTTTTGTATTAGAAAATTCCATGGCATCACAGATTATTGAAAAAGATGGGGGTTTTATTTTTCCAATTTTCCGTCTTTATTATGCACAAAATTGAAAACTAATATGGTTGATTGACGTAACAAATTTTTATCTACAAAAAACCTAAATACATTTTTGCCCTAAAATAATTTGGGGAGCGAATAATCGCATGTTATGAATTTTACGTTGAAATCCCTATGATGCGTTACGCAAGTCACCACCCTGTATAAGGGCTGACCAACTGGTATAAAAATCATTACTGAAACTTGTAGATCAGGTCAAAGGTAAGTGTTACTGTCATGTGAGAAAAATATACGAAGGTTTTACCACTTGTTTTGTAATATCACGATAGTATAGAAACTATTCGAGTTTACAAAACTGTCAAATAATTTCGTAATCCTTGCCTTAAAACAACTTTATTATATACTATCTTTACATACAAAACAGTTTAATTTAACGCTGGAACAAATGGAAAAAAGGAGAACCTTATCTTACCAACTCAAACGTATCAAAACTAATACAAACATTAAATAAATGTTAGGACACGCCCTTAAAATCATAAAAGAATTAATTTTTATTCAAAAGCATCTTCCTGAAATCTTCATTACTTTTCGAAGTCCCCTGAGCAACGCTGTCAGTTTGTTTCGTTTGCACAGAACGTGGAACAAGGGGTAGTTGTATCCGGCTTCGCGCATGACGAGTGGGAATCAACAAGTCGGACTCGTCGTATTGCCTCTTTTGTGGTGGCGCACTTATCGCGACAGTAATTACAAACCCATCTATATCCATTTGATCAGTCGCTTTTAAGGCCTCCTCGGCCGCAGCTTTGTCCTTAAAATCGATGTACGCCAAACCTTTAGATTGTCCACTTTTTAGAGACACAAGCCTTACTGCCGTACATTCGTACGGTTTGAAGATATTTTCGACATCTTCTTGAGTTAATTTTTTCGGAAGACCGCGAACAAACAGTTTGTTATTTTCACCCTGTGTGGAATATTTGAAGGCAGTCCTACGTTGTGACTGTTCTCGCACACACTTAGATATAAACAACGGTCTTCCTTGTAGGAGCTCACGATCTCTATCTAAAGCATCTGTAACTTCAGTTTCCGTTTCGAACTCAACGTAAGCGAAACAGCGGGATCCACCTTTCCTATCCGTGGGTATGCTGATGTTCTTCGCTGATGGAAACATTTTTTTAAGATCTTCGTCGGTAACGCTACTCCGCATGTTGCTAACGAACACAGATGTGTCTGTATTTATATCAGCAACCGTAACGTTTTTTTTAAATGGTTTAATTTCGAGTTCGTCAGAAATCTTTAACCGTTTTATTTTGGGATCATTGCCATCTTGAGGTCGTGATCGTTTTTTAGACTCCACAGGCTTCTCTTCGCTAACACTTTGTTGAACGATTGTTTTGTTAATATGTTTACATTTATCTTCACACTTTAACATATCTTGTAGTGTGCCGCACTCTCGCTCGTACATCTGCCAATCCTCGGCGATAAACTGAGGCCAATCTGTACACTTCGCTATGGCCCGCTGATACAAGCTTCGTAACTGCTGAGCGTTCCCGTATTGCTTCTCTAAGGCGATATATTCTAGCCACACGTTAGCCAACTCCTTATTGCTGGGGTATTGAAGGATGCTTGACCAAATATGTCGCGCCTCGGTCATGTTATCCGCCCTTGCATGTAGCTTAGCCTGTAGACGTAACAACTTAAACGTCGGATCTCCGGTTTCTCCCAAGTGCTCTGCGCCCTGCGTTATGATTTTATGTAAATGTTCTGGGGCTGTTGAAGAACGCCGAATGAATTCTATGTAAGCCAGCCACAGATTTAAACCGGGAGATGGCGCTATCGATACCAATCCCTGTTCTAAACATTGTGTAACAGGTTGCTCATCGCATTTATTATGTTCTAAAATGCGCATGCGTGTGATCCACAACTCCTCACTCCATGGACAATTCCGTACAGCCTTTTTGCTCACCTCATCTGACAAATCACCAAGACTCATTGCGTATAAGCAGTAGTCATTCCATAATGACGTATGCAAGCTGAGTTGAGCCACGGCTCGTTCGTACAAGCAAACAATTGTGACCGGATTTTTTGTTACCTTTATGTAGTCCTTATATGTTCCATACAAAGCCTCATCGTCTTGTTCAGTTAAAAGCTGATCTTCAAATGGTTGATAAGTTTTTAAAGTCTTCAAAGCCTGTTGATATCCCCACTCTACCGGTTTTAAATCTAGCGTATAATCCGAAGGTAGCCTTTGCACCCACTCATTCCATTCTGCATAACAGCTCTCCATGTGCATAAGAGGCACGGATAATTGACGTTTAAAAGCATCAACGACCTTTACTACTTGTTGTTTCCACTTATCGCTTAGCTCTTCGTGGAGCCCCAACTGAGTTAGTTCTAATTCTCTTAACAAATCCCATAGCAATGACCCCTGGTTTGCATGTAAGCCTGCAGTGCTCAATCCTTTTTCCAATACTTTGTATGTTTCCTCTAATTCGCAGTTTCCCAAAGTGTATTGAATGTACTCTAGCCAAACATCAACAGCTAGAATAAAACAAAACTTGTATTAGGATTATTAGTACAATAAAGATCTAAAGACAGGGATGTCTTTTATATGCCTAATTATACACTGTCTCCAAGGATGTCTATTATGGGGATTTCTGAAACCATGGAAGATACGACGATGGTGAAATTAGGGAAAAGTTGCGCAAATAAACAGTTTTAAGATGCTTTAAACAAAACCAAAAAATTCCGATTACTTCTCAGAGTATGCGGTATGCCAGAAAAACCGAAATTTGTCAATTTGTATTTTCCATTTTTTAGGAAATTTGTCTAATAGGTATTCTGGCATGATTAGGGCGTTTTGCGCGGGTGCACCATCCTGTTGAAACAGCAATTTCCAATTTTTGTTTTTAGCTTCCTAGCATGTGCTAGGTAGCTATTGCGGTAGCCGTTTTTTGAACATTTCAAAATTTCATCAAATGTCGACGATTTAGACCATTTTAAGCAACTTTTAAAGAATACAATTTTTTTCCGTCTGTATGTACGTACGTACGTACGTTTGTTGGCAATTTTCTGAGAAAACGGCTCGACGGATTTTGTTGAAATTTTGTATATATGTTTTAGGCATACCGAACAGAAAAATAACGGGCCGGATTTTTGAAAAAAAGTTTTGGAGCGCCGTAACGGCATCGAACTTTTTTTTTCAAATAGCAACGTAAAATTTTTATTCTATTATTTGGAAGACCTTATTTTCCTGTGTACAACCTACAAAAAATTGGGCCGGGTTATATTATCAAAAAACGGAGAAAAAAATTGTCAAAGTCAAAAAATTGTGTTGCATATGTGCAAAACGCAACGATCTTGTTTCTGAAGCAATTTAAACGAAATTTCTATGGTAAGTCCCTTTAATAAAAGCAAACAAAATTCATGCGCAAAAAATCGAGTTGCGCATGTGCAACATCCAACTTTCTTATTTATGGAGCAATTTTAACGAAAATTGGATGGTAGGTCCCTCTAATAAAAGCAAACAAAATGCATGCGCAAAATCGTGTTGCGCATGCGCAGAAATGCAACTTTCTTATTTATGGAACAATTTTAACGAAATTTAGATGGTAGGTCCTTTTAATAAAAGCTAACAAAATGCATGCGCAAGTGCGTACATATGTTAGCAATTTTTGGTTTCAGCTAGGAAGCTATTCTGTCAAGAATTTGACACCTGGTTTTTTTTGGTGTGCAGTACATCGTTGTTTTCATACTAAAAAATGCTACTCAATAGAGTGTGTACTTTTTTTACAAGCATATAAAAAATGAAGTTGATAATGATTTCTCCGAAACAAAACGTTTTATTGAAAATCTGTCAACTGTGTCTTGTACAGCTCAAAAAGTGGCAATGAGAAAGTGTTTTTTAATTTGTTGTTGTATCGGAAAATTTCGGTTGTTCTGGCATATCTTCGTAAGTAATTCTAATTTTCTGGTTTTCTTTAATTAAAGCATGATCAACTCTTTAATTTGACCATTGTCGTATCTTTTATAGTTTCTGAAATCCCCGTAATAGACATCCTTATCTTGGACACAGTGTATATGGACTGCTAATATCAATTAAATTATATTCAAGCACATTGCCTAAACATATCAATAAAAACCAATTATTATTATCTTTGCTGCAGATGTATAAAACGTAATGGCGAGTGTAATTAACAAGTATGGAACGGGTACAGCTATTCTAGTATTCTGTAAACAATGAAATACAAACATGAGGAATCTTTGCAACACCTATGTGCGGTTTTCAAGTATGATTAATTTTTTAACAGATTTTCTAAAAATAAGGAGGATGTGTTTGACGCGAATTCAGAGTTAATCCGCTGCAAATTGCAATATGTGAGCTTTGTAATAGGCATATCTCTGTAAGATGATTTTACCACAGACTTAAACACTACAGATTGCTCGTGAGGAAAAATAGATACCTAATTTTAGTTTTAGTAGTATAATACATGATTCATTTTAGGTTCATACATCTAAAGTTAAACACTAAAAAGGTAAGTCGAGGGAAGTGTAAACAAGTTAAAAAATAATTGTAAACGATTTACATAAAGCGCATTTCCACTTGCATTCATTTCCCATTTGTAAGATGCAACTTCTGTTAAAATCGTAAAAATCCGCCCACAAATATGAAAGATAGCGTTGCACATGGGCAATCCATTTTTGACGTGCTACTTCAATTTCAGTTTATGAGAAGAATTTCATTTCAATGCTTTTCTAAATAAGAAAGTTGGAACTGCGCATGCGCAAACCTACATTTTAAAACTAATGTTAGATTTTCCTTTGTTCCAAGCGCCTAAGTATCAAATTTCACTTAAATGGTTCCATAGATAAAAAAGTTGGCACTGCGCATGCGCAAAATAAAATTTTGAAACTGGCGCTAGATTTTCCTTTATTCCAAGTGCCTATGTATCACATTTCATTTAAATTCTTCCATAAATAAAAAAGTTGGCACTGCGCATGCGCAAAACCAAATTTTGAAAATTGGCGTTTGATTTTCCTTTATTCCAAGTGCCTATGTATCAAATTTCATTCAAATACTTTTATAAGTAAAAAAGTTTGCAATTCGGTTTATAAATGGTCGAGATGCGAAAAGGGCACTGTGAATTTTGAATCGATTCGATTCAACTTTTGGCATTGCGTATTATATGGCTAAAGCTATGCCCATATTGAATTTCATGCAATACAGTTCATAACGGAGATGTAAAAGCGATCGAACATTTCTAAACAAAGTTATCGTTCACACGGACAGATATATGGACAGACAGACAAAGGAACAGACGGACAGACCAACCGGCAGGCGACAGATAGCAATGCAAAATTATAAACGATCTCTAGGATCGTTAATAAACGGCAAAAGTGTAAAATTATGGAACATGTAAAGAACGGTTTTTTGTTTTTTTTAAAAATAACTTTTTTTGTAAGCGGTACAGAAAAAATTCCTTCCTTGGTACAAGACTCGGCACCATAACGAACCAAATAGCGAAAAAAGTAGAACAATAGCTCTTAAGATAAAGAACTAGTAGCGTCGCAAAACGAGCGTTAAGGTGCCGAGTCTTGTACCAAGGAAGGAATTTTTTCTGTACCGCTTACAAAAAAAGTTATTGTAAAAAAAACAAAAAACCGTTTTTTACATGTTCCATAATTTTACACTTTTTTTTTTTAGAGATCGTTTATAATTTTGCATTGCTATCTGTCGTCTGCATGCTGGTCTGTCCGTCTGTTCCTTTGTCTGTCTGTCCATCTATCTGTCCGTGTGAACGATAACTTTGTTTAGAAATGTTCGATCGCTTTTACATCTCCGTTAGTTATGAACTGAATTGCATGAAATTCAATATGGGCATAGCTTTAGCCATATAATACGCAATGCCAAAAGTTGAATCGAATCGATTCAAAATTCACAGTGCCCTTTTCGCATCTCGACCATTTATAAACCGAATTGCAAACTTTTTTACTTATAAAAGTATTTGAATGAAATTTGATACATAGGCACTTGGAATAAAGGAAAATAAACGCCAATTTCAAAATTTGGTTTTGCGCATGCGCAGTGCCAACTTTTTTATTTATGGAAGAATTTTAACGAAATTTGATACATAGGCACTTGGGATAAAGGAAAATCAAACGCCAATTTCAAAATTTGGTTTTGCGCATGCGCAGTGCCAACTTTTTTATTTATGGAAGAATTTAAACGAAATTTGATACATAGGCACTTCGAATAAAGGAAAATCAAACGCCAATTTCAAAATTTGGTTTTGCGCATGCGCAGTGCCAACTTTTTTATTTATGGAAGAATTTAAACGAAATTTGATACATAGGCACTTGGGATAAAGGAAAATCAAACGCCAATTTCAAAATTTGGTTTTGCGCATGCGCAGTGCCAACTTTTTTATTTATGGAAGAATTTAAACGAAATTTGATACATAGGCACTTGGGATAAAGGAAAATCAAACGCCAATTTCAAAATTTGGTTTTGCGCATGCGCAGTGCCAACTTTTTTATTTATGGAAGAATTTAAACGAAATTTGATACATAGGCACTTGGGATAAAGGAAAATCAAACGCCAATTTCAAAATTTGGTTTTGCGCATGCGCAGTGCCAACTTTTTTATTTATGGAAGAATTTAAACGAAATTTGATACATAGGCACTTGGGATAAAGGAAAATCAAACGCCAATTTCAAAATTTGGTTTTGCGCATGCGCAGTGCCAACTTTTTTATTTATGGAAGAATTTAAACGAAATTTGATACATAGGCACTTGGGATAAAGGAAAATCAAACGCCAGTTTCAAAATTTGGTTTTGCGCATGCGCAGTGCCAACTTTTTTATTTATGGAAGAATTTAAATGAAATGTGATACATAGGCACTTGGAATAAAGGATCATCGAGCGCCAGTCTCAAAATTTTCTTTTGCGCATGCGCAGTGCCAACTTTTTTATCTATGGCACCATTTAAGTGAAATTTGATACTTAGGCGCTTGGAACAAAGGAAAATCTAACATTAGTTTTAAAATTTAGGTTTGCGCATGCGCAGTTCCAACTTTCTTATTTAGAAAAGCATTGAAATGAAATTCTTCTCATAAACTGAAATTGAAGTAGCACGTCAAAATGGATTGTCCATGTGCAACGCTATCTTTCATATTTGTGGCCGGATTTTTACGATTTTAACAGAAGTTGCATCTTATAAATGGGAAATGAATGCAAGTGGAAATGCGCTTTATGTAAATCGTTTACGATTACTTTTTAACTTATTTTTATTTTTGTGGAAATGCGCTAAAAACCAGACTTGAAAAATTAGTACAAATAACGTTTTTGACATATTAATGCTCAAATTTACCCTTTTGAAGTGATAGCTGTTCACAAAAGTAGCGACAAAGTTGATTTTATACAGATGACAGACGGTCGTTTATTTAGTTTGTTTGTTCTGGGGTTTATTTCAAAAGAAATTTGAGAGTGCCGTTTTCAGCAAGTGTTAGTTTATTTATTTATGTTGACTGCAACCAAAAGCTTTTACGCCAATAATTCAAAAATGAAGTTGATGATGGTTCCACAAAGACGAAACGTTGAAATACAAAAATAGCAACGCCACCTTCAAGAGCATTAAAAGTTGCTGTGGAGAAGTGTCCTTGGTGTTGCTCTAGGTCAAATATTAACGCCAGAAAAAATAGCAACAACGAAAATTCCGATTTTTTCAAAATATTTCAAAAACCAAAAAATTTTTCAAGGATTTCTAATTGCCATCTTCTTAGATCATAAATTTGTATCTCTCACCTTTTCTAGAAGGCCCATAGTGGTCCTCCCTATCTCGGACACAGTGTATAGTAAAGTCTTTATCGGTCTTTATGCATTATACATTGTGCAGCGGTACCTACGCTAAAGCCCCTCTATTGGGTGACTTTTTGCAGCGGAAGCTTTTCTGCAAATAATTTTGACAATTTCCTTTGTATTTATAAAACTGGAAATTGCAACAAGAAAATTGTATCATTAAAAAATTACTCAATGCCATCGGCTAGCCCTTATTATTTTTTACCACAATTTCACCTCCTAATAAATCCCCTTGTTTTCGCGAGAGATCTGACAGTTTGTTACAAATGGTTATTTACTTTTCACTTTCCAGCAAAATAACGACACCAAATTCAGTGGGTTCTATTGAGCGCAAAATACATTGAAAATACCAAATTTTACACTTATTGGAATTCTTTACGATCCATCATTTACAACTTTTATTATATATATAGATTAATACTACTTTTTGGCAATGGATCTCAGTTAATATTTTAACGAAATACGTAAATACAACCAACCTTTATTTACAATTTTTCTTGGACGTGTATGCTCTGGAATTTTTACTGCTATCCTTTTTACTTGTTAATTTGGGGTTGCAGTTGTTTTCTAAAGAACTTCCCACCGGTATAGAAAACATGCCAACGATAATTCTGGGTTGAAACCGCCTCTACATGTTAATTTGTTTGCTGGTCGATGAAACTGCACTCACATTAACTAGATTTTTTTATTATTATCATTATCAAATAAAGCGAATCGACAGCATAAGTGATTGGCGCCTGTCTAACAATTACAAGATGAAATATTATATAGAACCTATATACAGTGATAACCGTTGAGAGGTTCCACCCTGTATATACAACTTACGACGATGCACACATTTTTGAGAGTTGGCAACCATGCAATTTCTAGGTGGGGAAAAGCCAAGGTTGGTATATTACAGGTTGCCTCGTAAACTTGCAGATGAGTTCCACACTGACTCCCTGTACTGCGCAAACGCAAGCGCGCTAAAATTTGAATTTGTGTACAGCTGTCAAGTGTAAGGGGTAAATAATATACACATAACCGGCAAACGTTATAATTGAAGATAATTTAGCTTACCTGCTTACCTATTATATGTAGTAGGTATATGAAAATGCCATGTTATCAAGATGAATTTTGTTGTTATCTACATTTGGTGTGCATGGTTATAGAATATACCAAAGGCGATATTAGGAAACTGCTTCAGTAAGTACTGTAATACTTAATTAGAAAGAGTTAATGACATTTACTTACAGCAATAACGTTATACAGACCAACATTGACCTATGGTAAAGAGAGAGTCCGGAGCTGAACGAATCTCAAAAAAACCAGACTACAAGGATCATGACTGATAGCTAAAGTAGAGGTTTGCTTTCAAATTGGCGCTATAATGTATTTAACTGGAATTCACAGTAGTGACCGAAGGCTTTAATTCGAGAAGAAGAACATATTCTTTCCGAAAATACAGCGACATTTGGTTTGTAATATGGAAGTCAGCAGGAACTGGTATTATAAACAAAACAAACAGTGGCACGTTAAAACAAATTCAAATTTTAGCGCGCTTGCGTTTGCGCAGTACAGGGAGTCTGCTCGTGACGTCACTGGTAGCCACTCAAATTTCGTTATCTTGTCATTACCGCTTATGTGACATACGCGTAAGGTTATAAATATTGAACCTCCTGTAAAACCTGTGCATGCAGAACCTAGAAATATTATTAAAAGGTCGTGGAATTCTTTGACAAACAGAAAGCTGCCAGTAGGTATGTGGGCATTTCCTTTGGAAAAGGCTACAGAGCTAGCTGCTGCTGTGACGGCAAATCAATAAAACTCATAACTAAATTAGATAATGTTAATTTCAATTTCAATTATTGATGGAACGTAGCAACATTGTTGATTGTCGGTCACGATATTTACTGAGAATGAAAGAAAATTTTGCTTTAGGGAAAAGCGGGTCGGCAGAAGATGAACGTCCTCCTGACCGGAGCAGGAGAATCATATGGTCTCGTTGATACCGCCTATCGCATCCACAAATCGAAGACTAAGTGTAGAGACGATATAAACTACGTTAAGAGAATTGGAGGAAAAATGTGACTACGCGATTGATTGTTAGATGAAGCTGTTTATCTTTCACGGTAAACACTGGTACATCAGACGAAGATTGACTGTATTATATAACGATTTATAATTACTAAATTTTAAAATATAAAACTGAATATTTGTGTTTCACTAGTTAAACGATTCAAACATCATCAAAGAACTGTAAACAATAGCTACGCATCAAATTTTCCAGCTGTATGGCTGCATGCATTTATTATTTCGTTTAAATCGTGGGCTACCAGTGACGTATTCGCGCCTCGATTGCTATTGGTCGATAGTTACGAGGCAACCTGTAATATACCAACCTTGGGGAAAAGCTGCCTGCGCCATCTAGAAAGCACGAACGGGGATTACGTTGGGCATCTTGTCTTGTGAACGCGTCGCTTCATAAATTTTTGTTGATATTTTGTATTATTCAATGCAGGTAGTAATTTTTGCATTTCTTTATATCGTATTTGTGTTTTGTATGCTGCATTTTATATTTTTTGTGTGTTTCAATCTTTGTTTTTGTAATTGATTACGTTTTTGGTGTAATGCTTGCTTAATTTATGTTTATTGATGTTGATTACTTCTTGTCCCTGAAGTAACATTCATATAAATTTTGATCATTTTATTTTAATGTGTGGAAATTACCGATTCGTTTGATGTATGTACTGACTTGTTGTTTGTTACTAACATTTTTCTCCGAATGAAGTTTGAAGTACGACACCTAATTCCGCGATTGTCTTCGACGTTCAACTGTAGGCTCGAAACCCAGAAACCAGGGGCGGGTTATCTATCTTGCAGGAGCGGGATTACGCTAATCAAAGCTCTTCGGTTTAGAATCTATGTGCGATAAATGAGTTACGATTCTTAATTTCCATATATCTTGTTTCTAGTTAAATTTGTTTATCAGGCCATGTAATTTTCCATCTTGCTTTTAACCAAAGGACTTAATTGCACCAAAGATGAGTTACATCCTGTACTGTTCACCCTTTCTCAGAATTTAGGTACCTGCTCTTACCTGACCCTTTGTTCCCAAAATTTGTTTTTAACCTTCAGTGTAACCAACATTATATATATGCCTTCACTATCTTTGTTAACTAGGTACTGCTTAAACTTCTACAAATTATTTTGTCTACTTATAATTATTTGTTCTTTTCTTGTAAGATTATCGTATTGATCTTTTCTAGTATGTTCTTCATTCAGTTGGCGTAATTTATTATTTCCTTGGCTTTCCCATTCGTTGTTCCATTTTTCTGTTATATATCGTTTTAAGATCGCTCAGTTTTATTTTTCCGCAGTCAATGCTGAACTTGGTAGTACAAAGTTTGAAAAGTTCGTCTGCCTCTTCGTTCATCTCAGTGCCAATTAGATTTCATTACTGTTTACTTTAAATTTGGAGTAAACTCTCTTAGGTAAGCGGTTACACCGAATTGCCTTTTATGTTAGCGGCATTAATAATGAACTTTGGTTTCTATTTGATTTTACAAACAGTTTTCTTTGTTGTAATTCCGTTCGCCGAATGAATTAATTTCATCTCCCTTTTCCCATTCCCAAATACGAGATAAAATGTCCCAAAAAATTTACTTGCGAACACCCTTGTTTATAATAGCGAACAATTTCCAGGATCGTTAATAACAAATCGTTAGAATGATTGATCAATTTTTACGCTAAAATACACTTAACCTGAAGAGAGAAATGTCAGCAGACAGCAATAGTTTTTCACCATAACAAATAAATAGTAATTCATGCATTGATATTATATTGACGTTGGTGAATCAAAGTTTAACGTGCGCCGACTTGGTCTACTCTGTCGCACAGCGCATGCGCAAAGCGGTTAGGAAATTACAGAAGTCTCCTTGTGCGCTATCTCTCTCAACGTGCTATGTTTCTATGGCAGAGACCGCCAGTGCAGCATAATTACAGTGCAGTGTACAGATATGATAAAACGGCTACAAGATAGGTAGGTACATATTATTTAAGACCATGTCAATTTGAAAATAAATATGCTTGTTTATTCAAAACAGATTTATCTGCATGATGAAACACTGCCGTGTGTGCTTATTGATTTCTGTAAAATAAAGTTTTGGTAAGAATCTTAAATACATATATTGGTTCCATCGAGGGTTACAATTAGTTTGAATTGAACTCACCAGACGCTTAAATCCAAGGAAAGCGCAGACTATTTTAACCAACCATTATATATATCTGTAGTTTTTAAATCTGTGATTTTACGTGGTTGAATAGTGGTTTAAAACGCAAAGATTTTTTTGGAAAACGACAACATTCTTTCCTGTCGTTTTATCTATGATCAAGAATTTTACTACATAATACTTCAGGGTGAAAAAAAGAGGATGTGAAGTATTCCACCAAGTGATATGCCATGTGTCATTTGTAGTACTTTTTGGTGGGTGGGAAAAGCGAAGCTGCAAGGTAGCAAAATGTGCTACCATTGAATTGATAACTATCAGAAGCGCAGGTTAAATGGCAGGATATGTGACTGTTTTCAATAGTTTAAATTACAAGACGTAGATGTCTCTACCATCGAGAAAGATGAATAATAATGTCAGTTTTTTACCTTTGTTAATTATTATACAGGAATCTGTAATGAACCCACTATCTCGATTTGTAATTGTTGTATACAGAATTCTAGATACCCAAGAAACGTACTTATAAGGCATTTATGTGGCACACAGGATGTTGAATGACGTAAGATAAACATTCTTCCTTTCATGAATCGTGACCTACTTAACATTCCTTAAGGAAGATTGAATTACATTTGAACAGGAAAGCAAAAAATACGCAGGCATCCTTGATCACTGTAACAGAAATTAAATGTACCTACCTATCTATTCTTAATTTTTGTGTGTGTCGGTTAAACCGTTGCCACCGGTTAAACTACCTAGGACAGGGGTCGGCAACCTATTGAAACGGAAGAGCTAAAAATTACAATTTACAAAATTTCCCAATTCTTAAAGAGCCACAAATAATTTTTGATTCAATATTATAGTTTTTGGCTATATACAGGGTCCTGCAACAGTCCGTCGGTTTTTCCTACATAGCTGATAGATACCTGGTAAAAATATTGGTGGTTGCGGATCTACAGAAATTATTTTTGAATGTACAGGGTGTTCCATTTTTACGATGTCAATTAATAACTGATCTTTTTAAATAGAACATCCTGAATATTTGGTTGTTTCAATGCCGTTTGTTCAAAGTGCTATAACTATTCTTTTTCAAATGGAACTACCACTATTTTATTTCGCTATTCGCTTTTGTCTTCCCTTAAATGTTTATAAGGGGTGTCCTGTGCTTAAACTCCGCAGTGTTTAGGTTATTCAATATTTTTCACAAAAGTACCTACTCATTAATTAATTACGTGTTTATACATCGGAGTAGGCTGGCTATAATAAAAAAACAAAAGAATACCAGAAAGTAAACAAGTGTCAAAAATTAGATAATTATTTGCTGCAAGTATACTTTTGATACAAAATAAGATTAATTAAAAAGGCGAATTTCGAACAAATGAACTAATTTCTTTAGATAAATACGGAGAGCCGCAACTTTATAGGTATCAAAAGAGCCGCAGGTTGCCGACCCCTGATCTAGGATCACACGTCACACCTGGCAATTTGATACAAAATAAAAAGGTCGTTAACCTCTTTTCTTTTAAATTCTGACGTTTGAAATTTGTTCTCAATGGTTAATCGATAACTTATCGATAATTATCGATTAATAGATAGTCAATCGATAAATTTTAAAAAAATGGTCGACCGGTCAACAAAAAAAGAATTTTTTGCGCATGGGATTTACACAATATATATTCTGACTATAATAAGCAAAAATAAATAAAAAGTGCGATTAAGACATCGAAAATATTTGCTTTTACAAAAGTTACAGCGATTTGATTGAAAGCTTTCAGGGGCGAAAATTAAAGCTGGAAGAAAAATGGAGGGTGATATTTTTCCGCGGTTACTTAGCAAAGAGGAAAAAAAATCCTGGAACAGTTTTAAGGCAATAGTCCATGGTTTCCCGTTCAGTGTTTCCTGGGAAACCATAGAGCTGAAAATTATGACGAGCTGACAGGATTTGGTTTTGTATCATGGGGTATAGAATGTCTCTAAAGAATAAAGATGCACAGGTTACATTCTCATTTAGATCAATTTAAGGATAATATGGGAGCTTATTCGGAATAAGGACAACACTTTCTCGAGACAATGGAACTTAGGCACCTTCCCAAGGCCAGGAAGTTGGAAGCATGATGGAAGATCAGATTCAGTTGAACATGACAAAAACAGCAAAACTGTTCCATTTTTAAACATTTAGACTCTAAGATAAACAAATTATAAATGTAGAAACGTTACCATTTAATAAATCATGCCTATGTAAGTAGGATTCTATAGGTATTTTTATTTTTTGGTTTTTTGCATTTTTTTCACACAAAAACAAATACATAACCATTTTTTGTTCTAATTCTTATTTGTGGCTATAGAAGCAATAAAAATAAGGTATATATGTCCCATGCGCAAAAATGCTGTAGACCGGTGTAATTTATCGAAAATGTTAAAGGATTGGTCGATAAACCTATAATTACCGATAATCTATCGATTAATCTCACAACTAAACTATTAAGATAGATAATTATCGAGAGAATTTTTAACGACATAAACTTTTCAATGTTTAGGTATACCAGTTTACTTCCAACAAAAGCGATGTAAGAGCATTGTTGAGTTGCCATATGATCACAATTCACAACCTACTGCTGTACTCATTTTTGAGGATTATCGTCCACTTGATCACCTTTGATTTCAGAAAACTTGAGCATCAAAAGATCCTGTTTTATTTAAATTATCTCTCGCAATACCAATACCAAAAAAACAAAAGTGTTAGCGAGTGTACGCATGGATGATGTAATATATCGATTGAGCATTGAGAATATATATCGATGAGATTTATGAAAAAGTATCGATAGTTTTCTCTTGATAATTTCCGCTACTTATCTATTAATCGATAAATATCAGAGATAGACAATTTTCGTGGCAATAATAATCGATTATTATCAGCAGCTAACAATCATTATTAATTATTTTTCAAAGTTATCGATAATTATAAAAAGTTATCGATAATTATCAAACGTTATCGATCATTATCGAAAATTAGCGTTACGATTTATCGATAATTGTCGATTATTATCGAAAGTTATCGATAAGTGTTTAAAGTTATCGATAATTATCGATAGTTATCAATTAACGATTAATCGATAATTATCAGACTGAACAGACTTATCGATAAATCGATAACAATTTCATTTATCGCTCAGCTCTAGTAGGTATACGAATTCACGTAAACTGGGACCGATTTATTTGTGCACAATGCTGCATGGTTATAAAAAAAGCTGATTCGCGAAATTTAGTTATCAAATGTGAATGTGGAAATGATGTAGCTGCCAACTGCCAACAATTCCACTACTGGACTGTTCTGAGGTTCATTTAAATTTGGGTAAATTTCGCCAACTTTTTTTATACCCTGGCAGCATTGTGCACACAGCAAATAAAATTAACACATCGGTTCCAGTTCACGTGAATTCGTATTCTGCCAACGCGGCGGCAAATGTGTTGGTACGTTTTTTCTCTTCTCGCTGACCGTTGGTTTTCAAAATTCAAATGCTTGCAACGGACAATATTTTGCCTTCAAATTTTTTTTGATCGTTTTTTAATAACAAAATCTCCCGCTTTCAGTAAAAATGTGGAACCTGCCTATTGTACTGCCTGTGAATAGAATGTATGAAATTGCATTCCTTCAAGGACAAGGACTGCAAGCTTCGTTCGTCTAAATGTATTATTATTTACATTACAAATTTACGCAATGCTTCTTAAGGGATCTATTTTTAGAACATTCCAATCCTATTTATAAAACCATTCCAATGATAACACAAAAAACATCCCGAGTTCCTGACATCTAACGATTAAAAAGGAAAATATTCGAATGGTCAAAATAAATGGTTTGTAATGCTGCCATCTAATGTCAATGTAACGCTCCACTTTCGATCGCCCACGGACTTTCAAACGATCGAACTGCCCCTAGCGGCGGCCAGTTGGCACATGGTCACAAACTGTTATATGGGATCTGCGCTTCTGATAGTTATAAATTCAATGGTGCTACTATCTTTTACACGGTTGCGTACACCTTAACTGCTAAAAACTGAGAATTAAACCAGAGTGAAACTTACATGCAATTGCAATTTTGAATTCAGTTTGCTATAAGTAGATTGAAAGAGACAGTGGGTAATATTATAGTTGCTTCCAAGGAAACAAGTTGCAGTAATGTACGGCCTAAACAAAGTGAGAGCTGTATACAGCAACACTATCTCATTGGTTAAACTATTTACACAGATACTTACATAAATAATCCTTAACAGCTCTTTCAAATAGTGTTAGTACATGTTTCTTTTCAGAACTTGATGTCGCCAGTTTAACTTCATCTTTTATCCAGGCCAACCATATTGTTGACGTGAGAGGAAAGTATTCCGAAAATCGATTATACGCCTCTCTCATCGACTTAATATCGCCTAGTTTACGATAAATTTCGACAACCTCTAGATGCACTTCGTAAAGATATTTGTTATTGGCCAGCTCCCCTTCCAGTGCAGTTGCTCTATCCTCAAGCTCCTAAAATTGAAAAGCTCATTTAAGATGATACAAAAATTGATAGTAGGTATGTGATTAAAGATAGAATCTCTGTAGGTACATAATGCCCACAAAATAAAGAAGTTAATGTCATGCAGATATTTCAGGGGGTGATAGTATTCGTCAAAATAAGAAAAAAATGCAAATATATGCATGGTCTAAAGAGCGTTGTTTACATTATACAGGGTGGCAAACTAGGTGATACATTAATTATTTTCGAGACTATTTTTTAGAATAAAGAATTTAGAAGAAGTATCAAAATATTTTATCTTTCAGAACTTTTTTTGGAACACCAAGCATGACATTTGAACTCTCTATTCCTTTGTTTAGCTTTCAGGTCTCTTGCACTATTCTCGTATCTGTCACTGTTTTGGATTTATCTGCATCGATGACAATTATCTGTGAGCAAAATAGCGAAATAATAAATACCTATGAGAAAAAAAATTAGTAGGCTGGGGCAGGTTATTTATTGTGGATATTATTATTATGTATCAAATTTGAAACAATTATCACAGAACATAAGAGAAAAAATTCAAAATAAGAGAAAAAAAATCGAAAAAAAATCGAAACTTTGCCACTCTGTATAATGGAAACGACGCCCTTTAGACCATGCATATATTTGCATTTTTTGACAAAATATTAAATATCTGCATGACATTAATTTTAATAACATTCTGTGTATTTATAAATATTTATAAATATACTAAAAGTGTTGTCATGTTTAAACCACGCACTCTGATTCAAGACCAGTAGATTCTTATATTTTGAAAATAAATAAACATTGCAGCTTACCTTGTCTTCTCCATCACTAGAAGAAAGTTCATCATCATCTGAAGTAACCATCTTATCATTGTCGCCCATAGGTACCACTATAAAAGAAATCAAAAACTAAGTATATTGATATACAATATACTTCAAACACATATAAGCGAGCATATAAGTAAGTACAACCATCCTCCTCTTCCCACAACTCGTTACACTAAAAAATTGATTAATAAAAGTGATATTTAAATAACACCAACTTAAAATGGCCAGTTTTTGATTTAACCATAAAAAATCCTACTTGCTCAGTCAACACAGCACCAATGATTTATTGATGTACATTTATGTATACCTTTCACATAGCGCTACTATTGACACAATCTATGCCAATAAGTATTTCTTAATCATCTATAGGTGGTGACGTTTTCTTTGATGGGACCTATCTATTAATGCAAATGAAGAGGAGTTCACATCAAAGTAACTTGAATTTGCAACTGAGATATAGGTACCATCAATTTGCATACATCTCAGTAGCTGTATCAAGTTGCTCTAAAGTGAACGCAAACTTGCTCATTGCCATGATACAATAAATATACATACTCATTGCAATGTTGCATGATAAAGCACCATTGCAATGGGCAAGTCTGCTCCGATGGCTAGTGTGGAAGTTGTTTCACATTTTTAGTGATATTTTCCTTAATATGCAAAATAATCACTAAACAAATCACAACTCAAATTCGGTATTCTCCAGTCGTGTGCTGGGCACATTAAAACGTCGTACGTCTCTAGATGTATGAACTTTCCATCACATAGTATCAAAATCAAACACAGAAATTATTCGGAATATGAATTCAAATTTACAACAAACCTTTGTGTTTTAAACTTTTTTGGATTAATTTATGGGAAAACAACAACTTAACCTTATATTTCCACAAAATAACCACAAAATCAAAACAAACTTTGGTTGAGTTCAGCAGATTCATACACAGTCGGTCGCTGCCAACCTAAAATCGACTCGACTCGTATATCTATATACAGGGTGTCCCTAAAAGGTCTGTACAACGCGCTACCAGGGGTTCTTGGTATTAAAATAGGACGATTTAACCCAACTTACCTCTAACCAAAAATGCTTCGGTAAGGCGCTATCTACCGCCAAAGATTTAAAAAAAAAATCGTTATTTTTATTTTATCGGAAAATGGTTTTGCCGATTAAAATGAAATTCGGGATGTGAATGTCTAATGTAAAAAGGGTCTTTGTGATATCATCGTTTTGATTGTAGTTGCTATGTAGGTGGTAAAATACTGACCATCCACATCTGAAGAGGTCTAAAACTTTTTAACTACTATTTTGACGGTTCTGAATTTTTAGACACTGATAGACAGTTTACTTGCAAGCATTTTTTGTCTCTTGATGAATATCGCTATCTGTGATGGTTTACGAAAAAAAAAAATTTAGGCATGATGAATGGCATGCACCATACATGCGATTGTTCCTCAAAAAATCAGAAGATGGCTGTGAAACCTTAGAGTGTCGTAACGTTTGTTTGTTGTTTCTTAAACTTTAACAATTTACGTTTTTTTTTGCGACCATTTCCACGACAGTATCCAAACACTAATAGCATATCAGTTAACTCTGCGTTACTGTATTGAAAGGCCATATTACAATTTTAACAATGAAATTTTAAGTCTTCAAGCAAAATGTAAATTGTTAAAGTTGAAGAAACAACAAACAAACGTTACGCCACTCTGTTTCACAGCCATCTTCTGATTTTTTTAGGAACAATCGCATGTATGGTGCATGCCATTCATCATGCCTAAATTATTTTTTTTTTCGTAAACCATCACAGATAGCGATATTCATCAAGAGACAAAAAATGCTTGCAAATAAACTGTCTATCAGTGTCTAAAAATTCAGAACTGTCAAAATAGTAGTTAAAAAGTTTTAGATCTCTTTAGATGTGGATGGTCAGTATTTTACCACCTACATAGCAACTACAATCAAAACGATGATATCACAAAGACCCTTTTTACATTAGACATTCACATCCCGAATTTCATTTTAATCAGCAAAACCATTTTCCGATAAAATAAAAATAACGATTTTTTTTTTAAATCTTTGGTGGTAGATAGCGCCTTACCGAAGCACTTTTGGATAGAGGTAAGTTGGGTTAAATCGTCCTATTTTGATACCAAGAACCCCTGGTAGCGCGTTGTACAGACCTTTTAGGGACACCCTGTATATCCGACATGACTAAAAATTCGCATGTTGATACTTTTTATCGCTCGGTATGTACTGCATGTTTTTGCGCAGGAGTAAAATGATCTTATCCATCACGCTTGGGTAATGCCGTGCGATCCTGAGGCGAAAGCTTTGAAATTGACTAATATTTTTGAAAAAGCATACAGAAAAAACAGGGAAAACCCGAAATTAGTGTAAGGTGTGTTGCATACACTGCAAAGTAGCCCATTACCACAAATATACAGAGAGTTTTTTTAAATGCGAACATAGGAGTTTGCATGCAATGTAATTTCCCTATGTTCGATTAAAAAAAAACACATCAATCTCTGAGGTGTGCGCGGTTCACATTCCCAAATCGTGCAACTTGTGTGACTATGAATTGTGAACCAACCTTCAATTATTTGTAGGTCATGTGCACCGGTATTCTACTAATTTGATTTATTCAATAATTCAATACATAAATTAAGAAAATAAATAACGCAAACAATTACAATAAATGTTCGAAGTGTCCTCCTTGACATTCTAAGTAATAACCTAACCGATTTCGTAATTAAATTGGACGGCGGTATTTTTAAAAATGTGACAGCTGTCAATTGTATCTACTACTCATTTGAACTACTCAATAGATTGATGTGTTTTTTTTTAAAATCGAACATAGGGAAATTACATTGCATGTAAACTCCAATGTTCGCATTTTAAAAAAATTCACTGTATGTACATCATTGAACTGTATACTAACGTAACTGGAACGGTTGCGCTATAACAAATAAATGAGGCAAATAAATTTGTAGGCAACCCGCAGTAGTAAAGTATCTGTCTCTTTTTATCTTATTACTTTAAGCGATATTTATCTCTATCCTGAGTGAATATGCTTAATTGTAAAATCTTTTTGTATTTTAAATTGATAATTCATAAATAAACTATTCTATTGAATACTTTTGTATGTTCGCAAACATTTAGACCATTTAAAATTAAGTTTAAAGTTGTTTTTTTGATGCATATAAAAGTATGGGTTTATAATGTCTAAAATTTTCTCTTTTATCAGTATTTTAGTTGAAATTGTCCTACTTTGTAGGTGTATGATTTATAATTTACAAAAAAGATGAATTTTTTAAAATGCACTTTTATTTTAAATACACACATACATAATACCTATAGTTTATACATTTAACAATTATTAAATAAAATTAATTTATTCATTTTTTGCCGAACTGTTGCAGATTTTCCATGAAATTCTAAATTTTTTAATTTGGAATGGTGGTGCATTCTGCATTTCAAGAAGACATCCACTATTTTCCGTATGATCTGAATTTCATGGGAATCTTCAGCAAGAAACTCTTCTGTTACTGGATGCGTTGGCTTAAAGATGTGAATCTTTGCTGAAAAATTGTGAATTGCCGCGTTTGTTAATAAAAGTTTCAGATTGTAGGTTATTTTTTAAAACACCTCCTTGTTCGATTAGAAGGCGAAACTGCACTTAACAGCCACACAATGATGCACCATTTTCAAAAACAGGCACTACACAAAATATTAATAATTTAACAAGATGAACTCTGTTCTAATTGTCTCTATACACAGCAAACAAAACTCTGTGCTACTCAGAATAAAATAAAAAAGCGTCCTAACCCCCAAATTTGGGTATACTTTTGATGCCGGTAGAAATTTACAATCTACCTGTGCGAGTTGAAGAGATGGATATCCTTTAGTATAACGATATCTCTCTCTGGAGTGCCACTATGGGGATCTCGCTTATCTTAGAGATAGGAATTTGGTTAAATGAGGGCAAAGTTGCGAATTTTCGTGTTGAATATAATAATCTGAAAAGAAATTTAAAATACCTTCAATAGTTTTGAAAATATTGCAAAAAACGAAAATTTCTGATTTTGGTTTTAAATTTTTTCATAGTCGAACACTTTTTAATGCAGATTTCGAATACGGCATTCCGTTTTTAATAACGTTTAAGATGATGATTTTGACATTTTGAGACTAGGTCTTTTTTTCTCTTTACAACGATCACACAAGGTGGTTCAGCATCACATTTTTCCTAAAATTACAATTTTCATTTTCTGCGGAGAGTGCTTTGGAAAAACAAATTGTTCTTTTCTTATGAACAAAAGGTTGACTTATTTCAAGTAGTTTCACTTTACGTGTGTGCTAGAAAATATTTTTTTTTCACTACTAGCGTCTGATGACATGATTATTAATCTTTTTTCCACTTGTAAAGTAGGCTTTCTCGGCATTTGTTCAAAGTGGTTAATAATTTTTTATTATTAACTAGTAGTCAATAATGAGAACTGTCACGTTGTCACTTTTAGAAAACACAACCCGAAATTTCGCTCAATGAACGTTTAGACAAGTTCTCTAAAACGAATAATTGCCACCATTCGCAATTTCCAGAGAAATTACATACCTAAAATTATCACATTTGAAAAAATTCGAACGAAATTACTCTTTGAAAAATCTCAATGACAGAACAAAATACGGCCTGTTTGACTTGTACTTCCACGTACTTGATTGACATGTTAAATTAAGAAACAAACAATTCTGTCCAACCGTTAACTCTATTATCAATATAATATGTTAATTTAGAGGATTTCAAGTGCTAGTAGTGAAAAAAATAGTATATATACCACGGTAGAGAAGTCTATTATTGCCCTCGCACCTTACACCCCTCGGCGCAAGCGCCTCGAGATGTAATCTTGGTGCTCAGGCAATAATAGTGGACTTCTCTACCTTGATATATAATGTACTATTATTCTTATGTATTCTGAACTATAATTTTCTTGCAAAACGAAGATTCAATTCTATTCAGATGAAAATCGAATTTTCTCAACACAACTAGTTCATTGCCAATACTGCAACCAGACAGTTGGATCAAAGTGTCAAACTTTTATTCACAATAAAAGAACCACGAAAAGAACGTTTTATTTTTCCAAAGCACTCTTCCCAAAATTAAAAATGTTAGGCATGGAACCAATTGTTTCATTTGAATCAAATGTCAAACAGTGTCATCTTAGTGTTCAAATTAATTTGTTTTTGATGAGGGTTCATGATGATCTTATTTTGTACAAAAAAATCATCTACAAGGAGGAATCAACCTTTTGTCTAGGTTTGAACTGAATCGACGGAATCTGGGCTCACAAAAATCTCCATCTTGTAATGGGAGTGGAATACCAAGTTCAATTCAGCATTGATCTCTTACAGAAATTATCACCAAATTTGAAGTTCAGTTTTCATTTTGGCTTGGAGTTTTATATCCAAGGTGAAACTAAATAAAAGTACCAAGTACAGCTACCATATCCGATCTTTATTTCTAACAGTATATCAATACTGGAGCTGGATGTGTTTCCAATGTATGTTATAAATGTTGATGGAATTTTGCCAAAACATTGCAATCACATTATCTTATGCGACATTATGCTTTGACAAAAACTAATTGAAATAGTGTAATGATTTGTATTAAAGTTTAACAAATTTTATTACAAACACAACAACTTAAATACATACGGCAAATTGTAAAAACAGTATTTAAATATAATTATTGGTCAACCTGTCTTTTCACTATGACTGTTTTGTAGCAAGTTTCTTCCCTTTTATTACTACAGGTTTATTTTTTAATGTCCCCTTTCTGCGTTTAGTGTTCTGTAATGAAGGTGTTATTATTAGTTACAGAATTATACCACTTACCTTTTTTGATACAAAATTTTGTGTCTTCACTATTCTCTTAGAGAATGGT